TGGCAAAATGAAAATTCTTCTGGCAGTTGTGGCTGAAATCTTTCTTGGTCTACCTGACCTTGGCTTGGTATCAAGAGATCCCTAAATTTTCCACTTCTTAAAAAGTGATTGAACATTACTGAATGGCATTTTTTTCAAGGCTGTGGATATTTTTTTATATCCTTTTCCTTCTTTATAAAGTTCCATTACCTTGTTACGCAGGTCTTTTGAAAGTTCTTTTCTGCTTCCCATGGATCAGTATCTAGCCTGCTCAGTGCATCCACGTGAGAGCTAACAAACTCATTATCTATTTATACACAGACATTAATTGCAATTTAAAATGCCACAGGTGTGGGAAATTAACCTTTAATTGCCATTTTAACTTGAGTTTGTAAAAAAGCCAAACATTCAAGGGTATGTAAATTATTGAACAGGGTTTTATGGGTGATTGCTGTTATCATTATGATTTTTTTTTTTTTTAAATAGCCAAACAACTATGTGATAATAAATGGCTTCATATGATTACCATCCTTCAATAAAATATATTTTTTTACATGATCAGTCACATTTTCAAAATCAATGCCAATATTTCACAATTTCTGCCAGGTTATGCAAACTTTTGAGCACAACTGTAATAAACAGGGTTATTTATCAAAGTGAGACTTGTAGGGAATTCAAAGTGAATTTCAAATTCTAAGACCAAAATACCTAAACTGAAAAAAATATCTCCAAGTCAGCACTTTAAGTCAAATGGGCACTTTGAATTCTTAAAAATTCTCACTTTATTGATTAAAACAGACTGTGTCTTCAAGACACATGAAATAGACATCAGCGCCTGACCTCTCCAGTGGGGCTGGACTCCATTGCTCTATTTCTTCATCTGGGAGAGAGATGTGAGGGAGTCCCTGGACAGGGATGGTTGTTGTAATTGATGGGTGGCAACTGGCCAGCTATCCATCTGTGTAGTGCATTAACCGGTATATACTATGGTCATGAAATGGTATATGATCCAATGCATTTGGACCACATTGGAGCAGTTCTTTCATATTATTGTTGAAGGGGCTGTGGGCTCATTTTACTATATGTTGTTGGGCTCCTGAAATTCAACAGGTTCTGGTCTAAAATATGTTTTGTGTTGTACATACTCTCCAAACCAGTGGGCACTTACTCTTGAACTTTCCTGTTCTTAAAACCAGTGGATTCTTTCACATGGCATTTTGCCCTTCAAACAATCAGAGATGTGAATTTAATGTGTTAAGGATCAAATCAAGTGTTTGATAATTTTGTATATCTGCCCCTTTCCAAAATGAATTAGATGCGGGCACACTCCCAAAAGTAATTCACACCAGACACAAGTTTCAGGTTAATGAAAAACTTGAAGAATGTTTATAAAGCAGAAATACATCATATGCATAATTATAGATAACAGAGAAAATACACCAACAATTGGTTAGGTGTTAAGTGGTTCATCTAATGCACAGCCTACAGGGTGTGATGTCACTGTCATCATGCAGTTCTCCTCCACATTCCAGCGCCATCTTGTTAATTGGGTGGTTCCTCGATGGGAGGGGGTAGGGAGCAGGATGGGAGAGGGGTTAGAGGGGGAGCAGTTACTGAACACAGGAGGGGAGGGGTTGGAGGGGAAGCAGTTACTCTAGCAGCCAGGTTAACACAGTGAATAATGAGCACAGATGCACAGAGTAAATAGACATTTTACTAATTCTAATATTTTGTCCATAACAAATGGATGACTTAACAACTAAAGTCTGTGACTTGATCCGATTATCTGACTGCAAAACTGAGAGACCGTGGCTTGACAGACCTTATCATAATGATTACCCTTGTCTTTCAATTTCTCGTGGTTAATGGGCGGTTCTCTTCCACTGCTCTCATATACCTTTGCCACCTTCTCATTTATTTGTTTCTCTCCCTTCCTCTTTGGTAGTATGGATATGAAACTTTATTTCATGGCTAATGAATCCTTTTCTGATATTGGATGTTTGCCTGCATGCACATACTGCTATCTGCTTAAATAAAGTCTTCAACAAAAAATTGCAATGGAGGACCATCATTCCTTAAATCTGTTTTGCACATAGGTTAAATAACTCATTGTGTCTATTCAATAAAAGGTTAAAGGAGCTGTCTAATCATAAACATCATTGTAATTGGTTAGGTCCTTTAGCTATGCATACAGTTGTGTACACAATTCCCCAGTTATCCTTCATTTTTGTCCGTGGTTTCTATGTTAAAAATTTTATATTATGTTTTAAACTTCTTTTTGCACTTTGGCTTTTAATGTTTTAATTTACATTATGCTTTATTCTGTGGAGGTTAACGAGGAACCAAAAGCAACATGTGACTCCACAGTCCACACCACAATTTCAATCATTTACTACACAGATGGATCATAAAGGTGAAGCCTAAGCCTATTGTCAGGGTTCAGCTGGTCATCTGAGCAACAAAAAAGAAAAAAAGATTTATGAAAAAACAAAAATCAGAAACACTCACAGACCCAGAATGAGTGTGATGTATCACTTATACAGCTGTTCCTCTGCATTTCTGACACACACCCTTACACCTGTCTTTAAAAGGCAAAATGCACATACAACTGCAGGTAATATATTGTGAATATAAATAATATATTATAAATTGAGGACCTGCCAAGAATGGGCTACATTGGCATTGTGGCAGGCTTATGCAATGTCTGATCATATACTGTAACTAAATTCTCATTCATTTTCCTATAGGAAAGCATTGGTTTAGTGGAGATCTTAAAGATTGATTATCTCACCTATGAAGGCAGGACAAGCCGCGGAAAACTGGCATGGCTTGGGAAAGAAGGTGAGTAAAAACCCCTCTCTCGTGATCGGAGGGTTGCAGGTACCTAAACAGACACAAGACACACTCTCTGACACACACACACACAGACACACACTGAAAGATGCACACACACACTGAGAGAGAGACGCACGCACACACACTGACGGAGAGAGAGACGCACACACACTGACGGAGAGACGTGCACACATACTGATGGAGAGACAACACACACACACACTGACAGGGAGAGACACACATACTGACAGGAAGAGACACACACACACACTGACAGGGACACACACATGGGCGTAGGAACCGGGGGGGTTGGGGGGGACGCATCCCCCCCAGCAAATCATGCGGGGGGGACAGGTTATGGGGAAATCCCCCCCAGCTCCGCCGGCCCCCCTCATGTTGCAGCCACCAGAGCGTTCTTCAGAGAGCCTCAGGAGGCTGCAGCTTTGTCCGGGCTGGTGCGTCCATGAGGGCGCACCGCCCGGGTGCAGCATGAGGAGAGGGGCTGACAGGTCGGCGTTAGAGACCTCCGGGGCCTGCCAGTAGGACCTGCCATTATAGGAAGCCAAAAAGGAATCCCAAATGGCCAAGTCAGCCCGCAAGGGCCGGGTAAGCCGGATAAAATGCCGCGGGTGAACGACCCCTGACGTTGCTGCCGCAAGGTGCCGATTAAAGATGCGCCCCATAGGCAAGATTCGACAGGCAAAATTGAACTTCCCCAGCAGAGACTGCAGGCAGCACAGCTGTATCTTACGCCGCCCCAAGGCCCGGGACACCGCTAGGCGCAGATCCAAAACCTTATACTGTGGCAGCCGACATTCCCCTGCCATCGAATCAATTTCGATGCCCAGAAAGCTCAGACACGTGACCAGACCCACCGCCATGAGCAAACGGGACTCCGAAGCGCTGAAACACCTCCCCAAGAACCCGCAGCAGGAGGGCACAGGCGTGTGATCCCGCCGGACCTACACACAGGAAATCATCTAGGTAGTGCAGGAGGGAGGCGACCCCAGCTTCCCTTCGCACCACCCATTCCAGAAAAGTGCTAAAGCACTCAAAATAGAAACAGGACAGTGAGCAACCCATAGGGAGTCACATGTCCACGAAAAACTGACCCTCAAAGGCGCACCCCAAAAGATGATGGCACTCCAGATGCACCGGGAGCAGCCGGAAAGTGGATTCCACATCCGCCTTAGCCAGCAACGCCCCCGGGCCCGCCGCCCTAACCATGCGAACCGCGGCATCGAAGGAAGCATAGGAAACCCTACAAAGCTCAGCGGAAATGTCATCATTCACCGAACCCCCTCGAGGGTACGACAAATGGTGAATTAAACGATACTTCCCGGGATCCTTCTTAGGCACCACACCCAAAGGAGAAACCCGCAAATTAGCCATTGGTGAGGCGGAGAAAGGGCCGGCCATCTGCCTCAATGAGACCTCCTTATCCAACTTTTCCCATACCACCTGAGGGAAAGCGTTCACCGATTTGAGGTTGCGTATGGAGAGCAGCGGAGGGCGCTCAGAGAATGGGATCCAAAACCCCTGCTCAAACCCCTCCACCAGGATCCGCACCGCGGCCCGATTCCTATAAAGGTCGAGCCACGGGCGCATCGCGTTTACGAGGACCGGAGTCGTCTCCCTTAGCCCCCATGCCCCCTTTCTCACCCATTTTCCCCCGCTTGAAACTGCGAGAGACAGGATGGGCCCCGCCACACTCGTGCTTAAACCGGCATAAAGACCCCCACTTACAGAGACTGTCGCTAAACTTCCAACAACAGCCAGACCTTGGACCTGAGGCCGATGAGGAGGAAGGTGCGCCCCCACCGCCCCCCCCAAGAAAGGACGAAAACGCGCCTTGTTGAGGGGCTGGACGAGTCATGATGGAAAGCCAGAGGCCGATATCCATCTGATCCCATGACAGCGAGGGACGTACCGCCAGCCGCTTTCGAAACTGCACATCGTATCTCCACCAACCCAGTCCCCCATAGGTGCAACAAGCGTTCCAGATCGTGTCCTGATAACAGAACAGCGTGGAGCACTTGTGGGGAAACTTTTCCCCAACCACGCTGGCCAAAATAGAGAACGCCTGAATCCAGTTCCCAAAGGTCTTAGGAATTTTGCGGAAACGGTACTTCTCCCTATCTCTCTCCGACTCCTTACTTTCCTTGCCGCCACGTGAGGAGCTTCCTCCAGTGGTAGGAGAGAAAATATCTCCACAAATTCCCCTTTCCAAATTTTTTCCTTCGTTTCCTGCTTCAAGTGCAAGCCCAGAGGGCCAGACCAGCACATGTAAGTAGCACCCCGCGCTATGTCCGAGACCCCTCCTTCGAGACCAGCATCAACCGAGGCGGCGCCAACACTGGCCACCGCGGGTGCCGGGGAACCCAGGGGCACCGTATCGCCACCCATCCTGAGCAGAGGCCCAGGAGGGGTGAAGCCTGAACATTACGAGGGAGCAGGGTCGGGGACCAAGCCGACCGGAGTTGACCATCAACCGAAGCGACCCCACTAACCGCCATCCCCCGCTCCCACTGATCCAAAAAAAAACTAAAACCCGAGAGGAACCCTCCCAACCCGGGACTCGCAGCGCCAGAAGCGGAGGGAACAAAGTACTTACCGGGCACAGACTGGCGATCCAAGCCCGGCACTGCGCTCACAGAAGGCAAAGAATCAGCAGTTCCAGCATCCACAGAAGACATCAGCTGTGTTCCAGGCGCCACCTGCTGGACGGATCCATGAACTGCAGCAGTATCCTGAGAAGAAAGCAGCAGAGCAGACGTGAGCCCATGCCCCAGAGGATATGGCCGAGGTAAGTGACCTGCAGGGGGGGAGGGGGCCCAGACAAGTTGGAGGGGGGGAGGACAATAGAGAGGAGGCAGCCAGGGAGGGGGAGAAACTAGATGTGGGGAGGCAGAACAGAGGGGGGAGCAGGGAGAGCAGGGGCAGGCCCAGGAGGGGAGGGGAACAGGGGACACAGGAAAAGAGGAGGGGGAAGAAGAAATAGGAGGGTGCGAGCAGGGAGCAATAAAACGCTTCTATTCAGAAGCGTCATTGCTCTCTGGTGCGCATCCGCAGCTTTGCCGCACATGCGCAGATACTTCATAGGGTGGCATTCATGTCTCGACTAGGAAGCACCTCTAGTGGCCATCTGAGTGTCCACTAGAGGTATTCCTCATCAGTAATGTAAATACTGCCTTTTTACGAAATGGCAGTGCTTACATTAAAAAGCCTGCAAAGACATGCTATAGACACCAGAACTACTACGTTTAGCTGTTGTGGTTCTGGTGACTATAGTGTCCCTTGAATATAGAGAGGAAAAAAGAATCAGCACAAATGTAAGAAATAAAATGTCTGTATCATTATTCTAAAAATTATTTTTAAAAAATAAAAAATATGCACATTCCTAGCTTAATTTTTAGCACGACATATGACACAAACATTTTGTACTTTGCAGATTACTTTTTATATTTTTTTATACATATACAGATTGTGTAATACTACCCTGACTTAGGGTGACCACATTTCCTAACTGCCATTCAGTGACACTGTCAGAAATGCATTCCATACATTTTACTACCCGTCTCTACCCCTTCCATTTATATTAGAACCCCACCTACCCCTTCCATGAATATTAGAACCACCCCTACCCCTCCCATGAATATTAGAACCACCCCTACCCCTTCCATGCACAAAAGAACCCCACCTACCCCTTCCACGCATATTAACCCCCTACCCCTTCCATGCATATTAGTACCCCCCAACCACTTCCATGCATATTAGTACCCCCTAACCCTTTCCATGCATATTAGAACCCACCCTACCCCTTCCATTCATATTAGTACTTCCCTAACCCCTTCCAATAATTTTTCTGCCTCCTCCCATCCATATTAGTAGCCCCCCTAAACCCTTACAATTATTTTTCTACCTACCCCTCCCCCCATCCATATTAGTAGCCCCCTAAACCCTTCCAATTATTTTTCTACCTTTGTCCCCCCTTTTACCTGACATAGCAGGGGGACCTCTGGACGTCTGGCAGGTGCCGGGTAGTCACGTGACACTCGGCCAGGGCCGGTGCAAGGATTTTTGCCGACCTAGGCAAAGGTAAAGTTTGCCGCCCCCCCATGTGACATCACAATGCCCCACCCATATGATCTGCCATGTTAACTAACGCCAGTGCTGGAGTGCCGCCGTGTTTACAATAAAAGGCCTGCAGGGACAGGCTATAGACACCAGAACCACTACATTAAGCTGCAGTGGTTCTGGGGACTATAGTGTTTCTTTAATGTGAGGTAAATTAGAGATTAGTGCCACGAATAATATGCTAGATTGCCTATTTACAACCAGATGAGAATGATGATGGCTCTAGCTGCAGTCTGGCTCCACTATTCTGGTGTAGAACAGGCTCTCTGGAGGCTGTTTGTAACTGTGGTCACAAAAATCAGTTTTCTGGGAGAACGGGAAGCAACTCCATTTTTTGGGGGCCCTTTACACAGCTCAAGGTCTGGGTCCCAAGGTCCACCTTCATGTTCCACCAATGAGTTTGTTCACAGGGGGTGGAGTGTGTAGGGGATGTCCTGATATGTGTGTAAGGAATGCATTGTGTGAATCTGTGTTTGTATGTGTAAGGGCTGCAAGGTGTGTTTCTGTGTATGTACGAGATGCAGTGTGTGCATCTGTAAGGGGTGCATTGAGTATGTGTACGGGGTGCATTTAGTGTGTGTAAGGAATGCATTGTGTGTTTCTGTGTGTGTAAGGTTTGCATGATTGTGCGATTGTGTGTGTGTGTGTGTGTGATGTATGTCAATCTCTCTCCCTCCTTGTCACTCTCTTTCTCCCCCCCCTCCCCCTTGTCACTCTCTTTCTCCCCCCCTTCCCCTTCCTCCCTCCCTTTGTCCTCTCTTTCTCCCCTCCCTCCCTCCCTTGTCACTCTTTCTCCCCCTCCCTCCCCTTGTCACTCTCTTTCTCCCCCCTCCCTCCCTCGTCACTCTCTTTCTCCCCTTCCCTCCTGTCACTCCTCTTTCTCCCCCTCCCTCCCTAGTCCTCTTTCTCCCCCCCTCCCTCCTCGTCCTCTCTTTCTCCCCCCCTCCCTCCCTTGTCCACTCTTTCCCCCTCCCTCCTTGTCACTCTTTCTCATCCTCCCCCCCTCCCTTGTCCTCTTTCTCCCCTCCCTCCCTCCCTTGTCACTCTCCCTCTCCCCCCCTCCTCACTCTCTCTTTCTCCCCCCTCACCCTCCCATTCTACCCCCTTTCACCCCCTCCCTCCCCACCTTGTCACTCTCTTTATCCCACCCCTCCTCGTCACTCTCTTTCTCACCCCTCCTTTTCACTCTCTTTATCTCACCCCTCCTTGTCACCTCTTTCTCACCCTTCCTTGTCACTCTCTTTCTCTCCACCCCTCGTCACTCTCTTCTCTCCCCCTCCCTCCCTCCTTGTCACTCTCTTTCCCTCCCACCCTCCCTTGCCGCTCTCTTTCTCCCCTCCCTCCCCTCCCTTGTCCTCTCTTTCTCCCCCCCTCCCTCCTTGTCCGCTCCTCTTTCTCCGGCTCCCTCCATGTCACTCTTTCTCCCCTCCCTCCCCCTGTCAATTCCCCCCTCTCAACCCCTACCTCAGTGGTAGCATGGCCGAGCCCTCTATGGTTCGCGGGTACAGGGAGTTTTTGTTTCCTGTACCCGGCCGGACTAAAAGGAAGTGCACACTGAGTGTTCACTTCCTGTTAGTCCGGCCGGGTACAGGAGACAGATGCTCCCTGTACCCGCGGACCATACAGGGCTCGGCCACGCTACAGTGAGGGAGTGACAAGAGGGAGCGCTGAGCGCTTCCCTCCTGTCAGCCCCTCTCCTCATGCTGCGCCCGGGCGGTGCGCCCTCATGGACACACCAGCCCAGACAAAGCTGCAGCCTCCTGAGGCTCTCTGCAGAGCGCTCGGGCGGCTGCAGCATGAGGGGGGCCGGCGGAGCTGGGGGGGGATTTCCCCATAACCTGTCCCCCCCACAATAAATTGTGCATGCGACCCTTTACACCTTCCCCTATTTACAAACATTTAAATAAAGAAAATATTCTCCAAAAACAAAAAAAACACACACATTTTCTATGACGTAAATATCTATGCATTAGTATTATGTATATAGGAAAGTATTATGGTGGTAATGGGTGGTATAAAGCTAGTGAAGAGTGTCTATGGTCTACCAGCATATGTAAAAAGCAAAACAAAACATTTTTTTCATCTCTCGTTCCCTATAATTACTAGCATTAACTGAAACATGGCTCTCTCCCTCTGACACTGCTACCCATGTCTCTTTATCCTTTGGTGGTCTTCAATTTTCCCACAACCCAAGAAACTCTGAAAATAAAGGTGGTGTTGTAGGGTTTCTGCTCTCCCCTCACTGCTCGTTCAAACCTCTACCCACACCCCCTTCCCTCTCTTTCTCATCATTTGAGATTCATTCAATCCGCCTTTTCCAACCCATCTCTGCTAACATTGCTGTTATCTACTGTCCCCCTGGTTCCCTACTTCTCTTCCTTGACCACTTTGCTGCCTGGCTTCCTTACTTCCTCTCCTCTAACATTCCATCTGTAATTCTCGGGGACTACAACATTCCCATTAACCCACCCTTGACTCCAGCAGCCTCAAACTACTTTCTATTACCTCCTCCCTTGGGCTATTACAGTGGGCTAATTCCCCCACCCATGTAGCAGGCAATACTCTAGACCTTATTTTCACTCATGAATGTACAGTCTCTACCATCTGCAACACTACATTTCCTCTCTCAGATCATCATCTCCTATCATTTGCTCTCAATAGCCCCCTCCACCAACAACCTCAGCCTAACCCCCCTCAACTCAGAAGGAATCTGAGTTCTATAAACCTCTGGCAGCTGTCAGCTGATATTGATTCCCAACTATTATCCATTCCTGCTTACTCATGTCCCTCACTGGCTATCTCCTCATATAACTCTACACTCACCTCAGCCCTGGACGCTGCAGCCCCTCTCCAAATATGCACCTCTCCAAATACGCACACTAAATCAACACGCTCTGTCCTTAGTCCCCTTCTATTTTCCCTTTACACTGCCTCTCTTGGCAAGCTTATTACCTCTTTTGGATTCTAATACCACCTGTATGCTAATGACACCCAGATATATGTCTCCACCCCAGACCTCTCCCCTGATGTCCTGCAACGTGTCACCTCTTGCCTTTCTTCTATCTCTGATTGGATGTCCTCCCGCTTTCTGAAACTCAATCTTTCCAAAACAGAACTTCTTGTCTTTCCTCCTCCTAATATTAATCCTCCTCTCTCGCTCTACCTTCAGATTGGTGGTACCCATATCAGCCCATCCTTACAAGCACATTGTCTTGGTGTTACCATGCCAATTCCACCTTAAAAACATCACCCGCATCTGCCCCTTTCTTACACAA